GGTGATAGAGAGATAGAGTTACAGCTATCAGTGTTAATATATATTATTTTTATTTGCTGTTAATGTCCACAGCGGCATCATCATTTGGATTTATTTCATACTATGTATGTATGTATGTATGTACTGTATGTATGTATGTATGTATGTATGTATGTATGTATGTGTGTGTGAGTATCAATAACGGAAAAAAGAAGAGAAAGACCCAAGAAAAAGAAGAAGAAGAAGAAGAAACAACAAGAGGAGTGTTCTGCCTTCCAGTTGTCTTCAGCTTACCTTGAAGATTATCCCCGGAGAATTCTTGTGTTTGTGTGTTTGTCTGCGATCAATCAGAGGTGGAGGTTACTGGGTCAAAGGTCATTAGGTAGATTAAAAGATTGCATATCTATTTTTATCTACCGACTTCTCCGGCGAGACTCGTATACTTAAGAGACATCCTGTGTCAGAACGGTCCACCAAAGGTCAAAGCTGTAAACTCCAAAGGTCATTCAATCAGCATTAAACTATCGTCATATTTACACCATCGATTAAAGTTTTGTCAAGCATCGTCCAAGGGCAGTTTACTGAGACAGACACACACAGACACGCCTACTGACACACACCCACTTACACACACACACACACACACACACACACACACTGTACATACAAAGATAATAATATATTGGTTGCCTCTCGTGTAACGAGGATGGCCGGCCCTAGGGCCTCCAAGGCGGCGTGAATTTGTTTACGGTGTAGTGCTGTCGCCAACACAACAACCACACCCTGAGTAACGAGTTGAGTGACCCAGTGCCAACGAATAGTCCGAGGAGACCGGACAGCTAGCCAACTGCACTGGTTAACCATTACTCCGGAACATCCAGGTCTCCATTTACTGCAGGGTAGACATAGGCAAATGGCGTAAAGAAACTTGCCCACAGTTTCACCCTGGCCGAGGATCGAACACGAATCCGTTAGTTTGCGAGGCGAGCCTGCTAACCATTACACCACAGGTCGCAAGATACATATATACAGAAAGAGACACACACATTACATATATACACAGACAGACAGACAGACAGACAGACACACCAAAGAGAACAAATAATGGACCATGTCTCAGAACAACACCACCATTCCTCCCGGGTCACACGGGTTGGTCACCAGGGAGAGAGCGGCCCGGCCTGATAAAATGAGGCCGGATGGCGTTCTCCTCTTATCCTCACGACACAGACAAGTCCATCCCTTTTTTCCCTTTGTTTTCGTGTTGACAGGAAGTTTTTATACTTTGGTGTTGCATTACTTTTTTCTTGGCATTTTAAATTCATTGGTGGTTTACATCTTTCTTTATTCAGAGTGATCGAATGAGATTTACTGGAGCTATGTTGAAAATATATCAGCTGCTACCACTGACAATATAGTTTATAGAAAAAAAAGTTAATATATTATACCTTTAAGACAATGAAATATTCTATGCATTAATAATCATGATAAAATACATTACTGAATATTAAAAAAAAATAAGGGTGATATATAATGTATTGTACACTAGAGTGATAAAGTAGGGTGTGACTTCTAGTGTGACCTGACATAGTGAGGGCATGTGTTGACCCCCTTTGTACCCCCCCCCCCTTTCCCTCACTGGACACTATCAACACCCGGTGGCCAAGACCTATATGCAGGAGAAAACTGTCACAACAACACAAGGATAAACACCTCTAACCCCCTCGTTAAGCTGGAGTATATACTGTACACCCTATGCGTTGGAGGGACACACAAACACACCCAGCCACGGTTCTCCAAGGACTGTGACACTGAGAGAGAGAGAGATAATGTGTAAAGGCTACAAGGATGTTGATATCAGGGTAAGGTATGCCTCTGTTCCTGACTTGTATAAAAGACTATGAAGCTTAAAATAATTCTCTAACTTCCTATGGCGTTTCATTAATTCCGAAAGAGACAACAGTGTAAAAACCCTCGTGTTCTATATTTTACTTCTCGTGAAATGTAAGACAGACGGAGTTACAGAAAGAGTATTTTCTGTGATGCTTTATGTCAATTTGCCTTGAAAAATGACATGACTGAGAGAGACAGGATTGATGCAGGAAGACGAGGGCGTGTTATGGGAGAGGGAAAAAGCCTTGAAATATCTTTAAAGTAATGATAAGACAGGTAGGTAACATTGCAGATTATAACACATTAAATCATAGCCTTACATGGGGATACTGTGGCCGATACTACACTCGATCGTCTTCAGTTCCTCATCGGTAAAGTAAGGTGTCCGTTCGTAAGTAAGTAGATTGAAAGTGTACCAGGCCCGAACTAGTGACCCTTAGGAAAGGAAACTGTGTCCAAATCAGATGGTGTCCTAACAAGCAGGGAGGAATTTAGGACACTCGCTCTCCACCTATAATTGATTGGAAGGTCACTCTTAAATTAATAGAAATATCTACCTAACATACATAACTTGTTCTAATTAACCTAATCCAACCAAACAACGAATATAATGCAACATAACCAAATATTAACCAATACGTAACTTACCTAACCTAGCATAAGCAAACCTAACGTAACCTAACTAGAGTAAAACCTTCATAACCTCATCTTACCTACAAACCAAACCTACCTAACCTAACCAAAAGTAACCTAACCCAACCCACCCAACCCACCCAACCCAACCCAACCCAACCTAACCTAACCTAACCTAACCTAATATTTCCTAAAGTAAACAAAGCCAAGAGGTCATACATATTTTCCAGCTCGTGAAATTGTCACACAGAACAACAATACAAGAGACCCTACACAGGTCATCACTCTCCTTCCTCCTTCAAGGTCATTATATAGTGCGCTGGGATGTTTGGTAAAACTGGTGTTCTTCTGGGTGTTTATAAAGTCCCTTGATGTTTGTGTTTACAGTGTGTGTGTGTGTGTGTGTGTGTGTTAAATAAGTTACATGTACAAAACAACTGTATATACTTCATAAGTTTTTTGGGGGACATAATTAATGGAATTTAGACTCACAGCGAGGATGTTATTATTATTAGAAATGATAACTAACATACAGTAAGGGGGAGTGGGGAGGGGTGGAAACACAAAACATCAAGGGACTTTATAAACACCCAGTAGGCTAGGATGACTCGTTGCAGTGACATTAGACGAAAAAATTCGTCCATGTTTACACAAGTGATGGACAAAAGGCCATGAAGGTTAGTTATAGGACAGAGTTTTATTTCTGCAATGTTATAGATGTTCGAGATATCCTTCAACTATACATTATCTCTACGTTTAAATCTGTAATTATCTGTAAATTATTAAGGAAATGTAAAAAAAAAAAGTAAACACGCCAGATAATCCAAACAGGAACTAATTTAAGAACTTCTGCGACCCGGGTGTATAAGCGGGAGGTGGACCAGCCCCACCCCAACCAAAACAACTTTTTTTTTCTCTGTGCACTTAACAAGAGGAACGCGCGACCTTCACCACGGAGTTGCTCATTAACTAATATTTCCGACACGTTAATAGAAGTTTATTTGAAAACGGAAAACTCTATTTTTTTCTTAGTCTATGTGAGGAGGAAAGCTGGCAGAGAGGATGGCAACAATATGATTTTTTTTCTTCTTTCGTTTAACTAAAAGTATTGAACATTATTACTGTTCTGTCAGAAAACGGGTAAGGAACTTGTTTTTGTCCTATGTGGGGGTTGGGGGGGGGAGACAGGTGTAAGACAGTCATGTACGAGTTGCTAGTTAGTCGAGTGATATGAATATTTAATAGTGTCATTAGGTAGTCTTAATAATTATTCTTACTTCATATCCTCTTAAGACTATGAACTGTTTTCGATCTATCAACAACTCAAGGCGGAAGAACCATAAAGTAGAGAGGAGAATCACTGTACGACGACCTGTACATAGTGGTGGTGGTGAGGTGAGGTGAGAATGGTGTTCACGACGGCAGGTTACAGTAGTGTGATCACTTTCACTGTGGCACCCACCAGGTCGCTCCTCCTCTAGCGCCACGAACACGCGACACGCTGACGGGAACACTTGTGTCGCATCTCTGAGGGAGTGAGTAGATTAGGTGTGTACATCAGTTACCGGGTCAACCCACCCTGGTGTGCCTCGTTTTTTTTAAAGTTATGTTGAGAATATAGTAGGTAAAAGAAGTGTCAGGTGCACGACACTGCCAAGTATTACCCAACTATCTATCAGTAGCATTCGTTCGTATATCAAGTCTTTATTCTATTACGAAATAAATTAAATGGAGTCGCTGCACCAAGTCTTACAATATATATTATCATAACCAAAGAAAACTATCCTTCTCTGTACAGTGCAACATGATTGATGATATTTAAGTTTTTTTTCAACTAACGAAGAGACTGGCACAACAGTACTACAGAACAATTCCTATCACCTACAAAGTGTGTGTTTAATATAAAACACTGGACGAAATAAACAATATTATTAAACATTTTAAACCACCCAAGCGCCTCGCATCGTCAGGTAATAATATGTTTCTATACATTACACCTGGGAAATCGTGATTAGACACTGGCCACTGTAAGACCGTGTAAAATATGCGAGTGGGGGGGTGTGTGTAGGTGGATGAGTGGGTGGGAGGGAGGGTGTCGGTGACGCCTCCAGCTGACTCGGGTGACCTTCACACAACAGAGGGATCCGCTGCACCTTCTGCAGAGATCACCTTGCACAGGATGCACGGGTGCCCGGTAAATTGGCATTTTACCTCCCTGGGGCAAATTGGAACCTGAATCACGTGCGGAGAGAAAAATACTCAGAGCGACAGAATGGGGGAGAAAAAATCGTCAAACATAGACCAGAATTAACTAATGATTCAACTCGTACCTAATGTTACATAGAAGTCTTGCCACGTTGTCTCTCGCGATGACCGAGCAATTGGGCTCTTCACGTTGGTAGGTTAGGTTAGGTTAGGTATCTCGAGAATAAGTAAATTCTCGGCCATTGTGAGAGACAACGTGTGAAGACGTCCTTAGCTCAATCTAGCACTAACACCCTCAAATGGTTAACATACTGTACATGAGTTGTGAGGCGCCAACACCTGTAACTCTGCTTCACTCTGCAGGGATTTAGTAACGTTAACTCTTACGTAGAAGAAACACATAAAACAATATGTTGTTTTCTGAAAAGTTTTATGGATATTCTTGTGATTAAGGCAACTGACGTGTTTGTAAAAAAAAGATAGGAACATTTTATTTAATTTTTTAGTGTTATATGATAATGAAAATCAGTTTATTCGTGGACAAATAAGCTGATTTTAAGACGCTGTTAAGTGTATACATAACCTTAAGCTGGATGAAAAATGAAACAGCAATAACAAGGTTTTATTATACATAAATACACGAGATGACATAAAAAGGCAAAAGAGACTATAGAAACCTTAATGCCTTTTATATATTCAATAAGGGTTAAACAATATCATCACTTTTATTGAGTAGAATAAAAAAAAAAAACTGTACTTGAATCCCTATAAGGTCGTTTGGTCTGATACGCTTTCGTTTATATACAGAAGCAACACACATGATTCGACATCTATCCGTGGCAGTGAGATGAATCCTTACAGAGTTTATATATTTTCTCACACAACATAATAAATACTTGTTTTGAATTATTATGTCATATTTTATTCTGTAATAGTGATTTGATTTTTTTTACTTTAAGTTATAGATTACTTAATATCTTAATGTCAAGAGTTCACACATTACTACTGATCCTTTATAAGAACTGTTCCTATTGTAATAATTATGTATTAATGTATCGATCGTTATCTTATTTTCCCTTACGCTATCAGTCTTATCTTTCCCTTAGGTTATCAATCATTATTTTATATTTCCCTTAGGTTATCAATCATTATTTATTTTCGTGGGTCCTGACGTCACTCGACTCTTTGCTGACTTCATTATACTCGACACAGGGATGGCCGAGTCGGTGACGTGTGAGCTGTGTTCGGAGATCTACGAAACTGACCCACGTGACCCTATCCTCCTACCCTGCGGTCACACCTTCTGCCGCAGCTGTATCACCAAAGTCAAGGAAGCCGATGAAACAGCCTGTCCCTCATGCAGCCTAGATTTTAACGACATTGATGTTGAGGATTTACCTGTTAACTTTCAAATTCTAAGTTTATCAGTAACTTATACGAAATCTCAGGTAAGTTTAGGTTTAGTTAGGTTAGGTTAGGGTTAGGTTAATTTTCAAGATATTTTTTTTTCAATTACGCTGCAGAATATGACAAGTTAATTTTTAAATCCTGGGTTTATCAGTGACTCAAAAGATATTGTTTGTTCCCTTGATAATATATGACTCAAGAATACGGTTATGACTCAAGGATAGTATGACTCAAGAATACGGTTATGACTCAAGGATACAGTTATGACTCAAAGATACAGTTATGACTCAAAGATACAGTTATGACTCAAAGATACAGTTATGACTCAAAGATACAGTTATGACTTAAAGATACAGTTATGACTCAAGAATACGGTTATGACTCAAGGATGCAGTTATGACTAAAAGATACAGTTATGACTCAAAGATACAGTTATGACTTAAAGATACAGTTATGACTCAAAGATACAATTATGACTTAAAGATACAGTTATGACTCAAGAATACAGTTATGACTCAAGGATACAGTCACGAGAGCACTTGCCAGTCTATTGTTAGCCTGTTAAGACAATACACACGAGAACTAACCTTACCTAACCTAACCATAAGACAAGGGCCCGTCTGTATAAACCTCAGTCTTAATTGGCTCAAGTCACAAGAGGCGTTTGTCCTAATGATTAGATTAATTTGGGGGGTAAGGTAAGGTAAGGTAAGGTAAGGTAAGGTAAGGTAGGTAAGGTAAGGTAAGGTAAGGTAAGGTAAAGTTACATTGTATAAAGCTTGGGCTAGGTTAGGTTAGGTTATATAAAGCTTGGGTCTTTATTTTTATCTTTTTACCCATTTTGAATGACAGGCGATATGAATTATTTTATAGCCAAAGGTTTTGTGAAACTACTACATAGTTCTCATGGTTCAGTGTCCCGTGTGAGTCATAGATGTTGACTGAAATATCCTGTTGATGATTTTTATTCTTTTTAGAGCATAAGTTTGAAATATTGTATATGTAAACTTAAATTATTTAGCACATGTAGTGATGAGATAGCTGGTGCCTAAACCCTTATTTGCTAACTGGAAATTTAAAATCTTGATAAAAGTGGATAAATTAACAATGTAGTTTTGTGTGTGTGTGTAAAGGTTCGTTTATTATCATAATCTCAGGTGTTCACTAAACCATTTACTTTCCTTCACATGTTCTAATACTCTCTGACCTCACCTCTTTCAAACAATAAAGTTGGTCGGAAACACTCGTATCAGATAAAGATAAATGTTTTCTTTTAACTCGTCTGAAATATTTTGAAAACAACGTATGGTTTCTCTGTCAACAGCAGGACAGGTGTGTTACCCACGGCGATGAGCTCAAGTACTGGTGCAGGGACTGTGAGGCCTCCCTGTGTAGTCTTTGTCTCTACACCGACCACCCTCAAGGCCACCATGTGCTCCTGGCCAAGACCTTCCTCGAGAAGAAGAAACTGTCACTCAAGGAAGAAACTTTATCTTTCAATAATTCACTGAAAGAAATGATGAATGAAGTAAACAGCAACTTTAAAAAGTGCTTCCAGAAGATGAAAATACTGAGTCAGTTACAGGCGGATGTGGTCGGCCTCATCACTGATCTACAGAAGGCTTGTAGCATCAAACCCATCCTCCTGTTAGAGGAAAAATTAAAAGGTCTTCAGAACAAGGGATTGGGTCCACTCTCACACGATGGCACAGAAATTCTCGGTGCTGTAGGAGGAGCTGCACCTGTTTGTGATGGAGCTGCAGAAGTGATCCAGGCCGGTGCAACCCTTGACCAGCGGGTGACAAAGCCTGGCAGCGTCAAAAATGGTGACAGAGGCCGCGCCAGGCTGGACTGTCGTGATGGGAGGCTTGTGGTCCATTCCCTCACTCACCGAGCCGACCATCGACTCTTCTTACAGGTAATTATGAACGATTAGTTCTTTAGTGTCCAACCTTTACACTGTACATAATACTATTTACTCACGGAACTGACAACATCGTAACAGTTACATATAATGTCTCTCATGTCTTGTGCCAGCCTTAGTGCAGTTATCTACTCGATTATCATTAAACTTTAGACATATCTAGTTTCCGCCACATCCTCTCGCTCTCCTCGCCCCAACTCCTAGTACTCCGAGCAGCCTTACTGACAGTTACATCAACAGCTAACATGACCAAACTACTGATCCTTAATGATTTGCCCTCGTAAGTTAAAGTTACTCACAGTTTAAAATCACGAATGTAAATATTTATCAGGTGACTCTACGCCCTCAGAAACTTGCCAGTCATATAGAATGTTCAGTAACACTAATACTGTATTAAGTTCACCTGTTAAATAATATTTCTCTCTTAATATAATATAACACTACAGTAATAGTTATAATGGTGCTATATGTATATTATGTATGCTGAATTATGTATTATGTATATTAGCCTTAATAACAAATTTATATTTATTCGACCTATTTGTAACTGGCGATGACGATATTATTACCATATCCCACATGTAGTGTGTGCCTGGCATGACGTAGCAGGCACTAATGTATCACTTGCCATACGTACGTCTGTGGTAGTTGACCAGGACCTTAGCTGAGGAGCAGTGCTATCACCTGCATTAGCGCCTCTTTATCCGTGCAACCGAACCTGCAGGCTATACGGAGTGTTTGTGTTCTCTCCTGTATATAGAACTTATTACCCAGAATACCTAACATGGCACAGTGCGTAGTTTTACTGGATTATTACGAGTGATTAGTGCAAGTTTGTGGAAAGCCGGCTGATGGATCCCCGCCTTGGGTCAACCCCGCGTCATCCCTCGAAGAATTTCGCAACTTTGAGCAGTGTCAGTGACAGTGATTTTCTGTGAAGTGTTTAGTGCATTGTGTGTTTCGTGCCATTCATGTGTGACCTTGTTCGAACGGATTTCCAAGGTATACAGCATGTTCTGGGCATTTGTGGGGTGTAGAGCTCAGCGCACCCTCCTCTGACCGTTTACAGAGAGCGACTGAGCTACTCCTATCTCCACCCCCCTCCCTCACAGCGCCGCCTCCACCCCCCTCCCTCACAGCTGGGGCGAGACGCTCTCCTTGCGTGGGACACACACACATACATGTACTAACACTTGCTGACCGCGCGGTTTCTTATATATATTTTATATATATAACCTACTTATCTGTGTATTTAATTAAATTTTTTTTGTCTGAAATCTTGTTGATACGACGGGCTGACAGGTCAACACTGATTTAAGACACAGTACACAGATAAAGTAGTTATGTCTCATGCCTTACGTAGCCGTGGACCCAGCGCCTGGATGAGTCAAGCGGATGATAGTCCCCCAGAGATGGATGACCAGGCCGGCCCAGCTCCCACAACATCGCGCAGCCCTTCACCTCAACATTCAGCGTTATCTCCAGAAATAATTGCCTTAATGAAGTTTATGAGAGATGAGAGACGCGAGGATGAAGCTCACAGACGTTTGGCGGATGAACACAGAAGGCAAGCAGAGGCAGAACGAGACCACCAACGGAGAATGGAA